CGATTTTTTTTTTGCAAAAGAGTGTATAATCATTTATTTTTTCTTTTTATTTATTTTACATGATTTCTTTCTTACTACATGATACAGCTTATAAGGTTATTTAAATTAACCAGTTATTTATAATTTCCGAATTTACTATAACCTCTTTCTTCCGTTTCCTGACCAGAAATGTAAATGAGGTAGAGAGTATTTAAGCTGAGGTTTTCGGACTGTAAGACAGAGTGTTTCTGCCTCTCGAGGCCACGTTACTACACCATTTAAACTATTTTATCAAACGCCATTTAGTGGCGAAGAGTACGACTTACAGTCATTCGACCTCCAGTTACCATGAGAACAGGTTCTTCTTTATTATGAATCTGTAACTTTAACATTAATTTTAAATGTTAGTAAATGTTAGGTGTTTTGTTTCAGTGTATGTTTTGTTCTGATGTATGTTTTCTATTTTGTATCTGTTCTACTATAAGGACGAACGCCGGCTATCTCTAAAAGGATTTATGAACAGAGCATAGGAATAGTTACAAAGTTTTGTTTAAAACCTGTCCAATACTTTGCAGTTAATTTCAGACACAGAGATAATTCGCTTTGCATCTGTTAAGAGTCTAGACCTCCCTGTTCCGGTTTGAATGGAAACATTTCTTTGCTTCGGAATGGCAACAGTTAGAGCTTGACTTTCGATTTGTTTGATGCAACTCGAATGCTGCTGATGAGATATAACATTAGATTAGATTAATTTGTTTGGTATTTTAATAAATTCTTTTTAAAACTAGATTGAGTATTTTGAACATAGAATTATCACTGAAATACTAATTATAGAAATTTAGATGTGGCATTTAGATTCATCGTAGAACGTAGTTAGATGCGCAGCGCCATTCGTTTATTAGATTAGTGTACTTTAGCGCGCGCACTGGTAAGTCAAATTCTGTAAGCTTTATATCCATATACAATTAATTATCAATTTTATTAATATTTTTTATGAATCGGATCTTAATTATGCTGATCAATTTCTAGTGCATACTCGGTTAAAGACCCCTTCATCATCATTGACCCCCTATGAAATTTCATCAACCTTAAGGGGTCATTACCGATTCCATTGGCAACTATTGGTTTAGATAAATGATAGCCATTTTATCACAGGCCTATCCTTGGCTGAATTTTGGCTGAATTTTGAAGAGAGTGCTTCGCTTCCAAAACAGTATTTAAACGCCAGGATACTAACCAAGTTCTAGGATCGGTGGCTCTTTCTGGCAGCGTTAGTAGTAATGTAATAAAAGATATTTTCTTTTCAATATGAAATTAAAAGGTGATTTCTTATATCACAGGTTATCTTATATAATTAATCATGTTCTTTTATTATACTTTCCTCTACAATATCTGGGCGTAAGGACACGAGATATCATCATGCATTCATCCAAAAAGTGCCCTAAAAATTAGTAATAGCAGACTATATTTGGAGAGGGTAGCCTTGAAAATTGCAGAAGGATAAAGAGATCCAGGCCTATTATATTAAACAATACAAGCAATTCTTTTACGAAAGAAAATCTGATGTGTACATCACATGACTCCATTGTACAGAATATTAAATTATACGCATTTTTTCTTGCATTTCATTTAAAACTTATTGGATTGAATTAAATCTACTTCGTCGATAGCGAATAAACCACAATAGAATAAATGCGCTCTTTAAAATTCAGTATATTTGTTTACCATAGCGACACTCTGGCGCTAGATTCACTTAACAGCGTTTATATTTCGTTCATATTATAACTCAGAATGCACAAAATTTATATCATTTGAAGAATTATCTAATCGTTGCCACATGTTCTATTAAAATACTATAATAAATCTAGAACGATGTATAAAAGAAGAAATTAAGCAAGCAAACAAACAAACAAAACACAGTTTTTCAAAGACTATTCAGTATTTATCATTCAAGTAACTCAGTCCTCACTTTGCCACAAGGCAAAAATACATAAAAACTCAAAATATCTATATTAAAATAACTAAGTAAATCTTAAACACTTACTTCCTCGAAAAAGTTCCAGAAAGGATTAAGCATGATTTAATTCGCAATAGTAAATGAAGACGTTATCTTTTTAGTTGCGAAGCTTAGTCTCTCTAGATTGGCAACAAATCTACTATTCTGCTATTTCAAATGTAAACAAATATGTCCGCCATGTTTTAAAAATTAAGTTTAACCGCAATTAAACAGCTTTTAAATTGTTAATAATATTACAAATATTGCTTGCAGATTTCCTAAAGGTATAAACACCTTAACTGGAATATAAGAACAACATAATTCAATCATATTTAAAGAAAAAAATCTTTAATTTACAAACATATAAGAGTAAAGAAACTGAGCACACTGAGCCGGTAGCAGATGGATATATATATATAGATATATATATATATATATATATATATATATATATAATGTTGTATGAACTTAAATCCATTTAGTGCGAATACAAGTTATTATTACTTGCGCAATTGCTGCAAAGTTAGTTAATAATAATTTATTTCCTAAACAGTATTGATTAATTGATTATATTATCTCCTAAGTTTAATTAAAGTAGAATTATTTTAAAAGTGTGCATCCATACTGGTAAATTATATTTTGAAAGATGTTTTGAAGTAATTTGAAAGCAAAATGTTAATAATGTCTTAACGGAGACTGGAGTTAAATCATCACGAAGAATAATATTACAATTGTAAAAGGAAAAATTAAAACATGTAATTATTGTCATTGATCGGAAATTAGTTGACTTTTCAAGGGGAACAAACCAACTCCCGTTCAATGAACAATAATTGATAAAAATACGTAAATATGAAAGTGTTTCGTCTTTACTCGAGTTATAAGTTAAAGCCAAACCGGCAATTCTAGTCAGGCCAAATATTTCCGTGAATAGTTGCTACTCAAAGAACTTATTCTCATGAAGCATTTTAGTCAATTCAATTTGGAGTAAAAATCAATTACTGTAGAGAAATCCTGTAAAACTCGAGTAATCGTCCCCGACACTATCATCTTTATGCATTTGAGTACTATATTATTTGAAGAAATTAAACATTGGAAATTGTCATTATGAAATCGAAATCAAAGTAAAGTTGAAATAAACATAGAAGATTATAAAAAAGATAAATAATGCAAACTTTGTAAAAACAAATCAAAGAAACATAAAAATAAATATAGAAAATAATATAAATAAGATCAGTGAATGTACATGAAGATATAAAGGCCAGAAAGGTATTAAGTAACTTACATTCTTTCTAGTGGGGGAGTTGGCAAAGTGTTCTTTTCGTGTCTGACTCAGAAGTGTAGGGTGTCCAAAATTCTTAGCGACAGTAGGGGCTTTGAATAATATCAGTCGGTAAGACTTGGGTGTATATAAATATATTTATATACGTTTGGTGCGGCCGATCGCAACCAAAATACGAGGTTCACATCTGCATGTTATAGCAGTCCTATATACAAAATTTCAACGTTCTGAGACTATTCGTTTTTGAGTTTTTCGGGATACATACGTAGGTGCGTACGTACGCAGACACCACGAAAAATTCTCTTCAGAATTCATTTTAAAGCAGTTTTATAATTTTTTTGGAGGAAACGCGTCTTTTATTCTATCCTTACTTACAAATATTACTCAAAAACATCGTTAAATTGCATTCGATAGGGGTCAAAATGGATATTTTCTTTGAAATATGCTGCCTGAAACTTTTCGCAATTACAATACTTCCTTTTTACTTCATACAAGGAAGTAAAAAGGATTTACTCCTATTTCCCGAATGCGATTAAAACATTGGACCCTAAAATTTGAGTTCTGCTTTATATATTCTTTTAGAAAGAATATCTACAGCTATGTAACAGTTTTTTTTATAAAAGTTTATGTTCTTGTTTTGGTTCTTTAACTGATCATAAACGATTTTGAATAAAGGTATGTTAGGATAATAAAAATAGAATTTCTAAATTGCTTTCAGATATTTCAGCACAAGTATACATTTTCAATCCGTGAAAGCTGCTTCAAAACATTTCTAGTAGTTACTGTGTTTGAGACCTTTCTTCGAAATTTCATTTTTGGGGTACTAAGATTTTTTATCATGTCAACGAGTGCAATCTACAAAATGTTTGAAAACCACTGATGCAAACCATAAAAGGTTTTTACTACTAAATATTGCAGAAATATTAGGTAATTTCGGAAGCAGGAGACTTGAAAAGAGCAATGCCCTCGCCAGGAAACGGACCACGGAACTCTCGAATACGCGCCGAGCGTGCAGACACAAAGGCACGCTAAGAAGGCGGGAGAAATATTTTATAATATTATATACTCGGGAACAGAATGGTAATTTTGTTTTACTTTCAAGAAAAAAATGTTTTGTGCTAGAAAGAATAATATTTTAAATTTTCATTACAAATTGATGTTTTACAAAAACTTACCACTCGTTTTTGAGTATTCATTTCAGGAAATAGATGAAATGAATGCTGCTTCAAAAAGTGCTGATTTTGTGATTGTAAAGTATGTAATAGTTTTAAACATTAATTTTTATACAAGACGTAATAGTCTTAACTTTAAAGGGTGACAGTACATAACAAAAATAGCAGTTTTCGTAACACAGTAGTTGGTAGAACTTGAGATGTGAAAGTGGATATACAATAAGCATGAAAGACATGGTGAGAGAAAATAAAATAATTTATCATTGATATCTGCAAGAAAAAATCTTTGATAGTTATAAGAATTGTTGAAATGAGTGATCACCCACTCCAATACATGGATCACACAAATCAGTGGTCAAAATGCAGTTGATGGTTCTTAAAAAAAAATAAAAGTAATTTTTTGGATATTAATGAAATATTTCAGACTGTTTTGGAAATCACAAGAATAAGCATTATCATATATATCATGTATATTAAGTTTAAAAATTATTGATGTATTCATATATGAGAGAGATAAAAGCAAATTAATAAGATACAGGAATTGAGCATTTTAATTAATGTAATCTGAACTTACATACAAGAACTTGATGAATTGTGCTATCTGAGCACCAACAACTCGGGAGTTAGCGACAGCAATTGTATAAGGTATTCTATTGGATCCACTCCAGTCTACAATTACAACGTTCTCGTCGGCTCTGTCCAGAATAACATCTCTCATACGCTGCAATTAATGAAAGAAGAGAAAAATAAATTAGAAAAAATACAAAAGAGAATGGAAAGAAAATATCTTGCATAAGTACTCAGACTAATACAACACTTTAGTTCTTTGCATTTGCAAGGAAACTGGCAGCAAAATTAATTCATAAAATACAAAATACAAAATATAAAAGTAGGACTGTTCAAAATAATTTGAATAAAAATTATATCTTTATAATTTTGTAAGTATTGTTGGGTTCACGTTTTACTAGTTTTTCTAACTAATATTCTCTAAAGACTAGTAATGTCTGATGGAATTCACCGCAGAGACATATCATGATGACAGAATAGAAATGAGAAATACTTTCACTGTAGTACTAAGTCCGTATCGTGAAAAGGAGACTGCAGCTGTTGAAAGAGAATCTGTTCATCATATAAAGCTAAAATATAAAAGGTTAAAAATCTGCATTGTGGAGGGCTCTAAAAGTAATTCCTGACTCCAAGGAGTCAGGAAATAACTGGAATTAGCATCAAAGTCTAGAGTAAAAGCTTTTACTGGATCGGAGCCCGAACGCACTACCTCGATGTAATGTTGAAGTACGCTGCTTTGTACCAACCAGTTGTGGCTTTTTTGGACACAACAACATAAAAACGCACGTTCTTTAGGAGATGAGAAGTAATTAATTCCATTCGTACGTTTCCTTGGAGGAGAATTCGATTTGAAATCAGTTGCTGCCGAGGAGATCAGTATTAGACATTAGCACAACAGAAAATATCCAACTACATGTTTTTGATATCATCGAATTGGCGACGGCCAGATCGGCTGCTTCTGCTGTCTGAAATGTTACAAGCACCACTTCTCCAGAAATTTTGATTCAGTTACTCTCGTATCAAAGACTTCGTTTTTCTACTTCATAGCACGATTCCGCAGATAAGAAAATTTCCAACTCTGCGCATACGCCTGGAATTTTCTCTCTCTCACAGATTTTTTAACATCTCTCTTCGTTTTTAATGACCTCCTCCATCATGTGACTAATATTTTGGTCATAAATAATATTTTGGTCGCGCCTCTGTGCGAGGAACTTCTGGGATAAAGGTGTCAACCTGGCTAGTTTTCCCGCAATTTGGAGAACTAAATTAACTTTGTGATGGGTAATCCCTTTTGGCGAAGTTCATGTTTGATGGACTGCAAAGCAATGCTCACCCTACATCCATTAAGTTATAATCTTATTTGGAACTTTAAAAAGTTTCCTATACGTTCAGGAATTCGACATCTGAATTTTTCTTTCTGCCAGCTGCTTTCTCACGCATAGCGTCAGAGGCAAAAGAGAGCCTGATTCCGTCACGTGATCTAGAATTTAGTCATCGAAGAAGATCACCAAATTCATTAGAGCTTTTTTATGTGCTATTTTATGAAGTGCTATTTCAGTGTTATTTTCTAAACAAACAGGAGCAGGGGTAGCGGAGTCATCAGCAGAACTAGAAACTTCAATTTCATCTAAAGATTCGGAAGCTGTACTTTCATCAGAGGGAGCAGATTCTGGAAGCTTCATAAATTTCTCATAACGTATGGTTGTCCCATTGTCTCTTCTGGATAATACATTGTTTTATAGAGGTTTCTTAAAATTCCTTCTTTAAATAAACTTTTTATTTTGTAATACCATTTCTATTGGTTACAGATAAAAAAACATCACGGACGAAAACGTTGCGGAGGAAACACTACAAGAAGAAAACATAGCAGTAAAAAACATCATGATAGAGAAGGAAGCAAAGAGAAAATATTGCAGTTCTAAAACAAGTGATAGGAAAAAAAGCGGTGACAAAACTTTGCAGTTTTAAAACATCATGGTATAATACATCGGTAATAACTTGCAGGTAACAATGAAACAACTACAAGTCATCGCAAACATTTATTTTTAGACTTTAAAACTTTTAAATACAGGTTCATATAATGATTTGGGGAATATTCTTACCTTTATATTTTCTATTTTTAAGTTAACTAGTAGGTTTTTGCTGAAAAATAAAATTAAAAATTTAAGCATTCAAAAGCTGCAAACGAGTGTAAAATTAATGCTACATATCGCTACAGTTAACAGAATTGTTAACTTGTAAGGATTATGTTAATTTTATTAACAGTTAAATTTTAAGTTCCTTTCCTGTCAAATTCTTGAGTTCAACTTACTACTTCCGGCCAGAACGTAGTTTTTTAGAATCATTCTAAGTACATAATGAGGAAGGAGCGGTGTTTAAACCTTGAAGTTCTACTTGATTAGAGAGAGAGAACCCAGTGTTTCTGATTTAGCGCGCGTTCACTGTCTTTTGGCCATTACTCTCTCTCTCAAAGCTATTATTATATACGCTCGGGCCGTTCTCAGGCCCTCGATAGCTTCGCAGTCAATCTAGTGTTTAAGGAGGATCAATTCGGTTAGAATCTTGATAGCTTCGGCTATGTCTCTTTAGTTTAATCTTAGTTTTAGTTTACTTCTTAGTCTCTTAAGTTCAAGCTCAAGTGTCGGCTTTGATTGTACACTCCAAGACGGAGTTTTGTTAAATCTTATTGGAATAATAAAGGGTTAGTTTACCCTTCCATCTTGTTGTTTCTTGCCACACGAATTTAAGCGATTATTCGCTAACTAGTTATCAAGATTCGTCACTTTCTACAGTAACTGAGAATTACAGTAGTGAAAGTCTTACAAACTTAACTATTAAAAATCATTATTTAATTATTCGGTGATTTAAAAAAATTGGATTAGCAGAAGTCTCTTCATACTGTTGGATTAGTGAAGCGAATATGATAATACACCGTCTACAATGTCATCGACATGCCATGATTTGCGGAGGCTTTTTTTTAAGACAATATTTTATGTGACGATGTTTTTGAACTGCGAAGTTTTTCAATCATTATATTTTCTACGACGATGTTTTACACTAAAATGTTTTAGAACTGCGATATTTTCTCCTTGCTTTTCTATTAGCTTATGATATTTTTTATGACATTGTTTCCTTGCGTTATTCCATGATTTTGTCTACGATGTTTTGGTTTATAGTTTATATTGATGAGAAACTTATCAATAGTTACCATATTGAGGCCCTCGTGCAATTTTTGATTGCGCACGTAGAAGTGTGCGTTAGTAATGATGCGGAGATATTTACCTCTTTCGGAGTGCTATTTATACGCAATACGTATTGCGATTACAGTGCCATATGTTTGCAGCTTTTGTAACTATAATTTCGATGCTCTGATGCTTTGGTTGCATATTCTGGTTTACAGCGGAAATTAATTCCGCTCTTACCAGAGCTTATCAGCGAATCCCACGAGGGGCCTCACACATAAGGGCTCATCAAATTGGTCCACCATAAAGGTGTATAATTTCGAAACTTCTGTATAACGATCTTACAGCTTTCAAAATAAACATACCGCTTGTTGCGTTCCTATATCATCTTTGTTTGCGAGATTACGGATGTACAAAGGGTGTTTATACAGTTTTAGATTGACCCTAAAAAGGTACGCCCTGTTTCCAATGTTTCTATAGTTAAATCATTAGTACCAAGGAAAACATCCGCCGATTCTAAATCAATTGCAGTGTCTTTAAATCCATCTGCAGCAACAATAAACAAAGTACTAAAATAAAATTTAGAAGTTAAGAGAAAGTAAAGATGTAACATTCACCAGCTTTTACGGAGGAATATGGCTCAACACATAATACCTGTAGAACTCTGTATGAAAATTATTTAGCAGGAATAAATAGAAATGCATTGTGGCCCTTTATGAAATATGGGTTTATCTAAATAACTGCCACAAAAAAGGCCTATTTAATATTGAAAACAACGAGCAAAAATGTACAGACCTGGTTCCATCAATTCAAAAAAAAAAAAAAAAATTCAGTGGGGCTATTTATGATTGTCGCAAGTTTCTCTTAGAATAGGAAATTAAAAGTAATAAACGTTACAATCAGCTCAGGGAAGGTTTTAAGTCCGATATTTGGAGAAGAAATTCCACTTCTTTGTTCCAATGACTTTCAAAGAGTGAAAGTTCATCAAGACAAAGACACAAGGTCATACTTGGAAAAGTACCACTACATTCTTTGAAAAAATGAAGACTTATACAAGTATTGCATATCTATATATATATTAAACATATTTCTGCGAAGCTCCCTGACGTTTCACCTATCGACTATTGCAATTTTAGTCTCTTGAAAAGAGCTCCGAGCACAACCCACTACGATTGATGGATTCTGAAAAGTAGTGGAAAACGAATGGGAATTAGTATCCCACAAAATTTTACGTAAAGTCCATCTATCATGGAAATCACGATGCAAACTTATAGTCCAGAGAAAAGGCTACCAGATCGAACATTTAAATGCTGATTACATTTTAAACATTAACCTTCTAAAAATGTGTAAACACGTTCTGCATAATTTAGTTGAAACTTAACTTGTTTCTCCTTCGAGTTATGCTTCTGTGTTTCATCTTCCTAGAGTTGGATGCTGCAGCTATCTAGACAGGTAGTGGCAAAAATAAATAGCATTTCCCGCTACCTTAATATCTAAAAAAGGAATATTTTAAGGATTGATAGTTTTTCAGTTAGAGCAGAAATTCTAGGAAAATTATGAAACATTTGAACAAAGATCGAAGCCATTGATAAACCTCGTTGAACATAATTCTCGTATGTTCTGAAGTTTCCTACAAGCATATTAATATAACGTTGCATGCACATGAAAATGGGCAAATTAAAATTTTGAACATTATATTCAGGGTCATTAAATGATTTCTTTCACTATAGCTAGAATATTGTTTTCACTATATAGCTATCATGCATACATTCATATATAATGAATCTTAATACTTTCTATTAACATTTAAAGTTAGAAAATTTCAAAAAAACACGATAAAACAGATATACGACTAGTTATACTTTAAAAGAATTACACGTTTTGTTGTTTTTTTATATCTATATTTATTAAGATTATAAAATCACTTACGTAAACCCAAGTATTTATAGCTAAATTGTCATTGAGGCCATGGACGATAATTCTCGTTAAAGAGTCTGGGTTGAACGTTGATTTTTTCACGCTTTTTTGATGGCGTGGTGACAGAAATATTGGTCGATTCTTGTTTCTTCTAGTGAATAACAGAAACATTGTTCTGATAACTTCTGGTGGCTCCGGTGGTACACTGAGAGGGCGATAAATTGGATGATAGAATGGCGGGCCACTTGAAAAACATCCCAAATCAGGATAGCAAGCAATTTTTTCGACAAATACTGCAAAAAAAGTAAAGAATGTGAAACTGGAACAACATATTATTGTTATAAAAAGAAAGTATGGTTTCTATCTTTCAGCCATCATACTCTTATCATGATGGAAAATGACTAATCTTATTATTTTACTTACTTAATCTTCCATTTTTATTTCCTTGTGCGAAGTAGAAAGGAAGTATTGTAATCGCGAAAAATTTCGGTATCATATTTCAACGAAAATATCCATTTTGGCAGCTATCGAATGCAATTTAACGATGTTTTTGCATGACATCTGCGCGTAAAGGCAGAATAAAGTACTCTTTCCCCCCAAAAAAATTACAAAACTTATTGAATATGAATTCTGAAGAGAATTTTCGTGGCGTCTGCGCGTCCGTACGTACTCGCGTAATTCAAAAACAAATAGCCTCAGAACATTGAAATTATGTATGTACGACTGCTTTAACATGTAGATGTGTGCACCTCGTATTTTGGTTGCAGTCAGCCGTACCAAAAGTATATATAAAAGTATATAAATATATACTTTTGGCGCGGCCGATATATTTAATATATATATATCTCCTTTAATCTTATATATTTGTAAATTGGGTATTTTTTGCTTTAAAAATGATTGAATTATGCTGTTCTTATCTTCCAGTTAAGGATTTTATGCTTTTAGTAAATCTGTATGCTATATTTGTAGCATTATAAACAATTTAAAAGTCTTTTTAAGTGCGGCTAAGTCTAATTTTTGTTTAGCATGGCAGCCATATGTGTTTACATTTGAAACTTAGCAGAATAGTGGATTTTTAGCCAATCTAGAGAAACTAAGCTTCGCAGCAACAAAGATAACGCCTTCATTTATTTTTGCAAATTAAATCATGCTTTATCCATTCTGGAACTTATTCGAGAAAATAAGTGTTTAAGATTTACTTCGTAATTTTTAATGTAGATGTTTTTACTTTTTATGTATTTTTGCCTTGTATCGAAGTGGTAACTGACTTAATTGAATGAGAAATACTGAATCGTCTGTGAAAAACTGTTTCTTTCCTTGTTTGTTTAATTTCTTTTATACATCGTTTCAGATTTATTATAGTTTTTGAATAGAGCAAGTAGCAACGATTAGATAATTCTTCAGATGATATAAATTTTTTGCATTCTGAGTTAAGATGAGCGTAACACTATTAAGTGAACATAGCGGCAGAGTGTTACTATGGTAAAAAAATGTATATTTTAAAGGTGCCTTTATTGTGATTTATGCGCTATCGACTAAGTAGATTTAAGTCAATCCAATAAGTTTAAATGAAATGCGAGAAAAATGTGTATAATTTAGTAATCCGTTAAATGAAGTCATGGGGTGTACGCATCAGATTTTTTGTAATAGCAGTTCAATAACTCAACTAATCTCGTCATAGGCTCTCCTTCCAATTCTCTAAAATTTAAAACATTTTCTAAAAGTTTTTAAGCTTTCTTTAATTATAGTTAGTTTTCTATTTCTCAGTTACATCGAATATAACCTTTAGTTGAACCTTTTAAGAAATTTTGAGTTCTATAAAATAGTAAATAGTATCGCATACATAGTAACATAGTAAATAGTATCGCAGGTTGACAGTTTCTCAAGGTCACGGGTAAAGCATGGACGATTGCGGCTGTAATACTTTGTGGCATGGGGACAGTTAACATCTGTTGAGCTAGAATACCTGTCCAGAGGCTGTGGTAAGGGAAGAAGAACCCTGGAATATATTTCTACTTGTTGGTCAAAAGTGGGAGAAAACTTAGACAAGTAACCTACGTGTGCTTTACTTGAAGAGTCGAATGCAATCCAATCTAAATCAAATTACGATAACTCGACGTTTTGTGTCATTCTCTTCGAACTCGATTGATCTAGAAAATACTGTAACATAGATTTCGGTATAGCTTTAATTATTTAATTTAATACGGCTCGTATCCCAGAAGTATTTATTTGAGTATGTTTCTTTATTTTGACGCACAGCCGGTATAGTGGTTAGTGACCCTGACTGAGGTAATGATCCCGGAGGTCCGGGCTTGAATCCCGGATAAGGCATGGTTATAACTGTCTGTCCCTTCAATAGGTGGCAACGGTGGCCACCTATTTAGGTGCTTTCATAATGAAATTGCCAACACTTCCGGCCTTTAAAGCTGCGCAAAGCCAATGGCTATTAAATAAATCACCCTACCATTTTTAAAATATAAAAATAAAAATGAAACATCATTGCGATGGAAAATAATCAAAATGTACTAAAAACGAAAACACAAAACAAAAGCGAAAAAATGCTAATTTTGTTTGGGGGAATTAAGTATTAATTTGTTTGCCATCATAATATTGGAGACAGAAAGCATGACTGATTCTAGAAGTTTTTACATAAATTAGATAAAGGAAATGAAAGGCAAAAAAAGGGGAAACGTTCCTTCGAAGCATGTAAATACTAGGAATCTATTTTCAGTTTCTTTTTAATAGTTCTTAAAAAATGTCTACTTTAATATGGCATGCATATTTGGATGGTTTTTCGTTATAAAATTTCGGAATTGTTTTAAAAATTAACTTTTATAAAGTAAATTATAAATAAACAATACGTTAAAATACCTTTTTGTCAATTAAGTCTAAATTCAAATTTATACAAAGAGAAGAAAAGAAATTTAATTAATTGAGAAATGCGATAAAATATACACAAATAATAAATTTTACAAAATTGAAACGTTCAACGCTATTAAAAAACTTCTAGCGCGACTTTTACAAAATTTGTTATTTAAATACGACTTCAGACTTGGAATCAAATTCTGGAAACAATATCATGCCCTTTCATAAAATATGCAATTGTGCGTCAAATACCGTTAAGCTATCTTTCACGGCCGTTTGACGAAAACTTTTCCCACAGAATTATTCTTAAAGTTTTGCAAATGCATCACGAATTTAAATAAAATTAATTCAAATCCCAGGTACTATGTTATATCAGAAGTTCTGAATTGATTAACTACGGCCTGATTTAGTTGCATAATCAGGCCGTAGTTAAGACGTAATAATATTGAAATATTTTTAATGTAGGCCTTGTACGGATTATTTTAATTTTATAACAGTTAATTTAAATTTTGAAACTCTTTCCTTTATTATCTTGTTACCCATTTATAACTCCCTGCCAGAATGAATTTTCAGTATCGCGTTACATGTAAATGAGGTAGAAACAGTATTTAATGCGTTCAGTTACTTCCGTAGAAGAGCTCGGAAGTTGTCAGTACATCGCATTCTGCCGTCTGACCACGTCGTTGCTTTAAGCCTATCTTACTTACGTTCCGGCCGTAGCCTTACGTGATTATTCGTATCTTCTAAAGAGGTTTAAATAATGACCAATTCGGGTAGCTATTTCTGTACAGCTTCGGCTAAGTTTTAGTTAGTTAGAATTTAATTAGTTTCTTATTTTCCAACTTAAGTCCAAGTGGAGGCCCTCCTATAAGCCCGAGACGGACGATCTGATATATTATTCTTTGAGAGTAATAAAAGGGTATTTTAGCCCTTCGTTAGATTTTGTTAGGGAATAATCTTCTTCAACTCCAGTTGCCAACGATACGAATTTTAACTAGAACTTCGTAGCCTCTTTAGGGCTCGTTTTCTCTTTAGGGCTCTTTAGGGCTCGTCTTCGTTTTTCTTTCTTATTTTGCGTTTCTATATTCGCACATTAATTTTGCGATAAAAGAAAGTTAATTAAATCAGGAAGACTGGTTATCATCGCAGACATAAACATCAGTGACATACATAGTCTATCTTGGAGGCGGGTCATCAGAAAGCAGTTCAAGGAATTTTTTACCGCTATTCCGTTTTTGGTCTTCTTATTTAGACTCGGTTGATGTAATTACCGGTTGCAGAAATATCAGAATTACTCTTTCTTTATTTACTATTTTTTATTTACGAAAATTACTCCTCCTTTATTTTCTAAAGTATGCTCGGGTATCAACACCTGTTCCTACAGAAAATATATGAAGAGCTCATATAACAAATCCGATTTCTCCAATACCAACTGTTAATGCCCATAGCCCGAGAAGGAGAAGGGAAAACCTGGCCAGAGGAATGATTAGTCCGACGGAGTTATCCTTCTGTTATCCTTGGCGAGTCCCGGGTGGCTTTTGGACAGGAAGTAATAAAAAACAAGAAATAAAAAGTAAAGAGAAAGGACGAAAAGGGATAGGGAGGGCAAGGGGACTTTTGACCTAGGATGTCAGAGGGGACGATCCGATATATTTTGGCTGAAAGGCCGTCGCCATTTTTTGTTATGCAGAGATTGTTTTTCTCATCCGGCGGAGACAATGCCGGACTTACCTATCCATGATTGTACTTATAATGTATAATAATCAAGAATTGTTTTCTTGAATTGTAATAAAGTTTATTGTAATAAATAATTAAATTAATAATTGTAATAAAGTTTATTGTTAAACAAACAATAAAAGAGTGTCATCTATGCATCGATCGACAGTAACATGTGTGTGAAGGAAATGAACTCCACGCTACGGATATACAATAATTCTTATTTTCATCGGTACGACTACGGCAGTTCAGTACACCAACTACAGCATAAATTATTTCTAATCTTTCAAATGGCTCTTGCTTTCCCATACAAGCTCTAATTACATGAAAAATAATCCCAAACCCTAGAAAAATTAAAATATAAACCTCAGAGTGACCACAAAGTCAAAATAAATGTTGAAACAAATAGGATTCCCACCTGCTGATCTTACAAATACACTGCCTCAAAAACAGGAAAAATATCATTTATGTTAGGCGGTATGTAATTTGAAACTATGGTGCAGGTCTCAAACAATTCCCTATATTTTGTATTATTTAAATCCGTAAAAAAGTACATGAAAAAGCATAATATGATTAAAAAGTAACAAAAAAGCAATTTAAAAAGTAAGCAACATATAGAGGCAAGTACCAGTATAACATGCAATTTAAAGAGAAACAACGAAAGGCTTATCTGAAAAGACATCATCACATTACAAAACAAATGCTCAGCTTA